TGTGTCTATCTTTTACGTAAAGAATTGCGCAAAAGATTTTTCAACCTTGAGTTCATACCAGGAGGTGATAGACAATATAAATCCAGTGCACATTTCCCTGTCTTGTTACCGGTTAACCGGGTATGCGTGCACATGCCATATACGTCGATCGACTATTGTAAGTCGACCCGGACTTGTCGTGTCTTTGCTACCATTCTACATATCGAAGCTCTTGTCGCCAACAGCGAAAGAATTGGAAGGAGCTACAAGCTCATCCTATTCACTCATTTAAATCTTGTGACGAATATCTGATTAACGCAAACATAATTCACATTTAAATTCCTAATATACCTAAGGTTTAAGAACTATCATTCAGAACAGAATCAAACTTGTACAGTTCGGAGAGGAGATTCAGCCTAAAATTTTGTAATGCGACAAGACTTTGTGGTAAACAACAAGGAAGAACACAATAGAAACAAAGAATTCTAACAGAATATGTGAACGGAGAAACTGTATTTATTACCAGACTAATACTAATTTAATATTATTTAATTTATTTATTTTCCCATTAAAAAGTTTCGCTGCGATAACAAAGCACAGGTTAGTAATTTAAAGACAAAGGCGTTGATTTAAGATGATAATGACAATAATAACAACCATTCTCCGTCTATACATATAGAATAATATTAATATTAAAATATAATGCTGAACTCAATTCCCATAACTATTATAAAGAGAGGAATGTTTTTCACATATGTACTCAAAATCTATTCTACCTAAGGCTAGCATTTTCTGAAGCCAAACGAAAAGAAAAAAATCTAGTTTTAATAAAACGTTCTCTGATCTACTATCATTAAAAGAATTAATGGAAAGACGGCGTAATATTTCAAGCGAAATTGTTCGAGGTGTGTAGAACTGGATCCACCGATTATGGCCGCTGACCTTGTAGGGAGAGTCCAGTATGCGGACCACTCATTGAAGGAAGGAAGGAAGGAGTTTCCGTCGGTCAGTACAGTCTGTGTCAGTGTAGCAATGTAGAAGCCAGATAAATGTTGTCTTGTGACTGTGCTGGGTTAAACACATGCCACCTGTTCGTTGCAATCTCCTTTCTGGTCATTGATAAAGCCTCGTATCACAACACTCAGACAGACAAACCACGACGTCTTAATCAAAAGAGGACGAAATGAAAGCCTGGCTATTGGAAAGAAACATCCTATTTTGTGACATGTTGAAAGCTCAACTGTACGAAACATGAAAAATGATGGTGTAATGTAAATCGAATATTTCGATAAAGAACATCATTTAATATTTTAAATATTTTAAATGTTAACTATTGTAATATTTTAATATTTAACAAGAATTTATTGTGATTAGACGGACAAGATTTAATATATATCCATATGAAATGTTTAAATAATCTCAAGGAAAGGTTATGTATCATGATTGCCTTCCCAACAATATTTTTGTATCTGAAACAAATGAACATCACGACCATTGAGACACGTCAATGAACTTAATTGGAAATTGTTCTCCATCGGATTAAGTTTTTCCAATGAAGAGATGATACCGGTTTGAAAACCTGGAAGGAAAAGGATTTAAAATGTATCTTAAGGAAATAGGATAAGTGGTTGTGTATTTGGTTGTTCTAGCTCAAGTCAGGAATCAGTGGCCGTCTCTCGTGAGCACTGGAACGAAACCTTGTTCCATAAAAAAGGAAAATATCTTGGCCTTCAGAGTGACTTTACTCCACTGAACTAGTGCAACAAATTGTAATGACTGGTATTCGTATGCACTTCCATATCCAAACAAGGGACGGATTGAGGGCATAAAGCGAAATTGAGAAAGAAATATGGCGAACAAAAAGTGAGCGGACAAGAAAATTGATTGCATAGCATCCGTCAGCAAGATCACTCTGGCAGGATTTTGTAGCCCAGTTTTTTGTGTAGCGGTTTAACTTCACTGGTCAACAAACAGGTTGTAATCATAAAGAAAAATACTTTTAATATAATGCCTCATAATTCAAGATGTTTAAACAAAGATCAGACAAGCCGGAGAATTTTGAAACGAATGTCATACCACAGAACTGGGTATATTTTTATATGTTACATTAAAAGCAGTTGTTATAAAAACATGCTACAGTGGAGGACTACCTGTTCATACATCTTCCCTGTGACAATTTAAAAGCATTTCTGCAAAGTTTGTGATATTATTAAGGTACAATCGTTTTTAATCTCTCTGAGTCAGAGATTAGAGGCTTCTTTCCTCTCATGGTTTAGCGAAACCTGGAATGTTTCTTGATTTCAGACTGGAAGAAGGGCGTAAGTCAGAGAAAAACGTTCCGACGTCGAACGACGGTATAACATTTTTTTTTTTAGTGTTCTGTCTGACGACAGGTCCATATGAACAGGGTCCTTCCATCCTTTTCTCGGACTGGGTCCTGTTCATATACGTTCTTGGCAGATGATCCAGCAGTGGTTTGCCATTGCCTTCTTCTGTGTGTGAATGGAGTAATTGTTGGGATGCCACGGAGAAACCGGGGAAGCCCCCGTAGGAAAACTCCGTGTTGCCTAGACCACGGCCTTGCCCAACACAAGTTATAAATTCGGGCACCGCCGGGAATCGAACCCGAGACCCCAGGATTACAAGGCCAGCGTTCTAACTGCTAGACCACCTCATCTTATTATTTATTTAGTGTTCTGTCTGACGACAGGTCCATATAAACAGGATCCTTCCATCCTTTTCTCGGACTGGGACCTGTTCATAGACGTTCTTGGCAGATGATCCAGACGTGGTTTGCCATTGCCTTCTTCTGTGTGTGAATGGAGTAATTGTTGGGATGCCACGGAGGAAAACTCCGTATTGCCTAGACCACGGCCATGCTCAACACAAGTTATAAATTCGGGCACCGCCGGGAATCGAACCCGAGACCCCAAAATTACAAGGCCAGCGTTCTAACCGCTAGACCACCGTAGCTGAATTTCACGTGGTATTGAGGTTAATTAAAAACCAAGTTCAGTCCGCAGTTATATTTTAGATATATTATCATATCAGCATATTAGCCTGGATTTGATTCCTATACTAAAAAATTCGTCTTATGTTTCAACTTACACGTTTCATGTCCTACCACGCCACACAGCTGTAACCTAAAGACAGCAATATTCGGATTCAACGCCATGAAAGTCTTAAATCATACTTGTTATGACAATATTTACCTCAAATGACCAAAGATTATCAATAAAATTTTAGTCAGGACATAATTTAGTTAGTTATTCATCTGCCTATCACATTACAACTTAAAATCACAAACGTGTGTACAAAGGAAAAATCAGAGTGAAAAATAATCTGAGTGGTTTAAAATATTAATTTAAACCGAAGTAAACATCGTACGAAAATAAAATTTAACTCAAGGAAAACTTAAAACGAACTGTCGGTTATCCAAAGAAACAGAAAGCCTTTACATGACAGTAAAATGTCGTTCACAGTTGGAGTTACGTCAGTACTAACACATCCTTAAAAATACGCATCGGATTTCTCTTGATGTAATTACAAAACACATTGATAACTCATCTTCGCGCTGGACCCAGGTCCAGAGTCAAATGATTGACAGTACTGTTACCTACGTTCGATATTTTGGCTAATCTGACTGAAAATTTTGTCATTTTTCCTATTTCCGTCCAGCCAAATCCTAAGACCTATTATGTTTAAATCTTTACACCTTACAAATTATCCTCAACGTGAAATCTAATAAGTGTCGTTAAATAAACTGAGACACAAATATTGTACTGGAGGCGAATTTCGCTCTTCGTACTCTGAAGTTTCTTCATTAAAATCTGATTGAAGATATTTTCTCAGTTTTTCCGTTCCTCCGTGTTAATTACGAGGTTGGGTAAAAAACAGGCTACAGCCGTCTGTATCTTCAGAACACAATTTAAAAATTATGTAGTTGATATAAAGTGTTGCTAAATACATTATGCCCAGTAACATATCTGTTAATGTGAAATTTACCTTGTAGGCTTTGTGCACATTAATTATAGTCCGTGGGAGAGGTGAATGTAGTTAGCGAAGTAACAAGGATGACTGGGTGTCTATCTATTCCACCCCCTTCTAGGGTACACCCAACTGGAGTCCCACAAATTCCGGGGGTTGTATCCCCAGGTTTAGAACCGTCGGATCGACATTATTATCGTTCACTACAATATACAGTAGATTCGAGGTTAAAAGTTCTTGAAGCTTCTCGCCTTCACGGGCTGGTGCTTGGGCACAGGGGTAGATTTACGTATTCCGCATCCATGTTTATACAGATATTACTGGCGTAATGTCTTTGAACAACCGTGAACATTGACCAAACTCCGCTCCCGAAATTAGACCGAGAACAGATCTCAGAATTCTACTATTTTCCAAACTCAGTATTCATTCTTTACTCTCACACCGCAGAAAATTCATTTTCATTACCTCAAAACTAAGCAGGAACACGCACAAAATTACAGAACATCGCTAATTCAGGTGGTTCAGGAAAAGATTATTTTATTTTCGGAATATAACACGTGTGAGTTATTTAAACTTCGTTTTATATCCTAAATAAATTGGTTGTAAATAGTCATTCTGACTGAGGAAAACTGAGTACTTGGCAGACCGTGGTCGGACAGACTGCAATAACGTAATGTTTTTTTACAAAATTTCGTGTTAAACAACTGGTTCAAAACACACCAACAAGCACATGGATAGCTTAGTAACCTCATAAACCTATTTTATTACTTTGAAGGTAAAATGAGGGATACTTTAAACAGTAAACTTTAAGATGTACAAAAACATAATTTTAATGTTGTTTTCCACGGGTGTCATACTTGGTATCTCAGGCTAAATGAATAACATTGATTGAGAACACTGTGCTTACCAAATATTAATATGGAATGTAAGGTCTGAATCCACGTGGCTAGATGTAGGAACAAGTCGCGCGTTCTTGGGGGTCAGTAATAAACCATAACAGCCGGATAATTTCTAGACCAGATAAAGCTACTTACCTGTCTTCTTCAAAATATTTCCGGTCTCCTTAAACTGCTGGTACCAGGCGCGTGCTCGGGTTTTGATGGTAGCGTCTTATAATCCGTTGTTCCGAAACGTCTTCGGGACCTGTATAACGATTCCGTTTCTATAAACCTCTCCACACAACATGCCTGCTCCTGCGGGTTCATGGCGACTGACCTATTTCACAAAGACGAATATGCAATGCGGTGGAAGACAACGGGTGCTGCCATCTACCAGGAACTCGGTAAAACTACAAGAGTTTATTTCGCAGATGACGCTCGAACAGTGTATCCGTGTATTTTCATCAAGGTTTTATTCAAGAATATTTTTGTAAATTATATACACACTCATTTCTTCTAGTGTCAAGTTGGATTTCGCTCCACGAGCTGGTTTTTTGGTTAATCAATAAATACACTTCAGTATATAAAAACTTTAAGATGTTATCAACAAAGACAATTTAAGATCACGACATCTTATCGGAACACAGATATTACAACACAAAATTTTAGAAAAAGGTTCTACATTTTAATTATCTGTCATTTTAAGACTATGAAGTTATTAATAATAAGTTATAATTCATAATGAATACGTGGAAATCTTAACAAGATTTTAATGAGGGGATATGATTAAATAGAGGAAGTAAACACAGATAAGTTTTTACAAAACAACTACATTTATTATTTTACTCTGTGAAAGTGAAACGTAGATCTCAGGATACAGTCCACTTAAACGATGTGACTACAGGGTGTTTACAAGTTCAGACAGGGTATTAGAGAAGAAATACATTTATTTTATATGATAACAAATTGGACACAGCATTTAAACAGATTAAATATTAACAAATTACCTTCCGAACCAACGCCCAAGATAAAGAAAAGATGTTAGTGGACGTTATAAAAGATGAACTGAAGCCAGAAAAATACTGTAAGCTTGTACTTGGAAGGTAAAATAAATAATAATAAGAATACTGACAGTAAGTAACCACAACCTTTCATCTGTTTGAGAACTGTGTAACAGATGGCGGTAATTATAAGCTAGGCTACGTTTTTTAAATTCACTACACTTGGGGCATAATGAACATTGTCAAACTGAAATCATAAGACAAAAAACAACGTGTAAAGAATAGGTTATTGTAATTAAGGTGGTGCAGGCTGTCCGAAAAAATCATGTTGCGTGTAAGCGGTTATGCACGCAAAGCACAAAGGCTCTTGTGAAATAACCACCCACAAATACTCCTGTACAATCTAGTTCAACGCCTCACTCGCTTGAATGCACCGGGCCGGTTAGCTTAGCGGTATCGCTAAAAACCTGTATTCGTGAGGAATCCAGATCAAATATCGGCTGATACAATTAATGTTTGCAGATTAATTTGTACACTACACTGATCTTTGCAGGTGTTAAGAATTCATGTAGCTAAACCTCCACTTCCCCATACATCTCCATTTCTCGGTGCTTAATTAACTATCATGGACAAATTTTCTTCAGGTGTCTTCCGAATATTTATAATACCAAACAAATTATTAGTAAATATTTTTTTTTGGACAGGGTAAAAATTGGGATGACTGCAGTTTGTGATTGGTTAGCACTGTAAACTGAATGAAGAGTCTATAAGCCAAGGAACATACATTTCAACCCCATGATATCACATGAGACGAGAAAATTCTTGAATATTTAAGAAGGCTATTACATGTAAGACTTGAGGTTCTCACAGCGGTGAGTATGAAGATTTCCGTCTTCTGGGTTGTTGCGCTGTGTAGTCTGGTAGATGTTTACCGACGTTTCGGAGGTCATACTGCCTCCATCATCAGGGCGATAAGTATGAAGAATTCTGTCTTCTGGGTTGTTGCGCTGTGTAGTCTGGTAGATGTTTACCGACGTTTCGGAGGTCATACTGCCTCCATCATCAGGGCGATAAGTATGAAGAATTCTGTCTTCTGGGTTGTTGCGCTGTGTAGTCTGGTAGATGTTTACCGACGTTTCGGAGGTCATACTGCCTCCATCATCAGGGTGATCAGGCCCTGATGACGGAGGCAGTATGACCTCAGAAACGTTGGTTAACATCGACCAGTCTACACAGTGCAACAACCCAGAAGACAGAAATCTTCAGGGCTATTACACTTTTAATGACTCTGATACATGAAGTATGGTAGTTGAGAGAACGTCGTTAAATAAACTAATCAGCGGACGAGCGAGTGTCCTTTCATAGTCTGAGAAGCATTAGTAATAAGTGAGTGTATAAATATGAATGAAAGGCAGACATTGTATTTCTCCCAGTGACAGCGAATCGTGGATGACAATGTGCGTTAATAAATACATCGCGGGCCGCTGTCTGCGACCTCTTCATATAAGGACAGTATATATTGCCTGTTAAGACAGCTGAAAGGCAGTCACCTTCTTTTGTGTTTTCCTCAACAGGCAGCTCGGTCCGCGTAATGTTGGTACGGACCGTCTGCAAGAGGGACTCCGGCTAAGGTCTGACGTCTTTCGCTGTCTGTCTCCGGCTCGAAAGACTCAGCAATCTGGTTAGGGGTCTTTCTCGGGTACTCCGTAGACGAGTTTCACGTACAGGGCACAGGGGGTGTGTTGCAAATTTGTCAATTGCCTCGCGGAGTGAAACACTGAACTACCGGAGTACTGTGACTGAGGCAGTTTCAAAATCTACAGCCTACTTGTAAAGAATAATGTGATAAAGGCTCCTCGACGGAACATAGGACATATAAAATAAGTTTACATCTTGCCATCTAAATGAGTCAGTATGCAAACATCGTCTCTGACGTCAACGGAAGAACACAGAATGAGTGAATGATAATTTTTTTCTGAGATTAATAGTTGGATTTGAACGGTGAGATGAGAGAAATTTAGAGAAAACTACACAGTGAGGAGCTTCGTACTTTTCACCAAATGATTACAGGGATAAGATCAATAAGGTTGAGATGGGCAGCCCATGTAGAACGTATAGATGAGGAATGCTTACGAAATTTTGGTCGGGAATCTTGAAATATATAAATCACGTAGGAGGCCAAGGCGTATATAGAATAAAATTAAAGTGGATATTGAAATTATGTGAGGGTGTAGACTCTGAATTCACTGAATTACGATGTGGCAAATTGACGTGATATTTTACACACGGAGAAAACTTTCGGGTAACAGGAGAGAATTTTGTTACTGACTTCTGAAGATTTACTGTTCTATTGGCATGTCTCATTTTAATCGATCACTTCGTTTTCATATTATTTTAGAACGATCTACATAAAATGTTTATCAGTACGCCAAAGCAAAGTCATTTCGCTCAATTTGCGTATTTATATTTTATATATATATATATTTTACCATCAAAGTGCCAGAACGGAATCCAAGAATAAGTTTACGATAGATCACATACCAGCAGAAAAAATACTATAAAAAATTAGTAGAAAGGGAATTTTTTTAATGTTCTTTAATTACGCTTTGTATCATTTATTCGTTTCTTCCTTAATTCCCTTGTTTCATTCGTTCTCTTTCATAATTTCATTCCCTCATAATATTAAGACCTTTAGCAGATGTTGAAGTTTTGGGTCATTCGCTCGTCTGTTCGATTTTCTCTTAAAAATTCGTCTAATAACATCTGCAGATGAAACAGAATTTAGCCCAGAAATGACAGTGCGTCTGGGGGATGTTTCCTTCCGCTCTGCCCTCTGCGGACAGAGGTCTCTGATAACCCTTCATCCTCGGTCCGCACCGCAGGGGCTCGATCAATTTACTGAGTACTGACATGCGGAGATGTATGCATGGGGGTCGATAAACTGCGAATCGCACTGTTACTGTACCATTATATTTTATACTTGACAGATTTCATAGCCACTCAATTTATTAGTCTACTCTGTGCAAGCTTCTGTAGGATTAATTCCCAATAATTTGCAAGCCTCCAAGGGAGTGTTGCCGTCCTAAACAGCGCGGACTTCAATTTAAAAGCGAAATTTATTGGGTCGGAGGGTGCATTGCATAACTGTTAGAAGGCTGCTTTTCTGACGTTATATTTTTCCAGGCGTTCTTTAAGATGTCAAGCCTATATATATTGGATTAATCTCGTTGTTTGCGATGTGTTTGTTGAACCGAAGGGCCGACAAGACAACGTGTAGATATATACAGGAATATGTTATTCAAATCGCGATATATTTCAACCCTCGGCTCATTATTACGTGGTTTTCGTTATTCTAGTACGGAAAATGACAGACCACTGCAGCTAGGACCCGTAATAATCTAGCAACATGACGTCACTCCACGTGACTGTACTCGTGCCTGTAGTAACCTGTGTGTCAGTCAAATGTGAGGAAATTCCCGTTTCAGAGAAATTCAGAAGTCGGTTTGACGCCCCCTTTAGCTTCAAGCCCTGGGTGACCGCCCTTATATTCCAAATTGAAGACCGGTCCTTGTCCTAAGCACATGAAAGTCTCTCATTTCCACTATTACGCTACAAGTTCTACAATTCCTCGCCGTTGCACTGTTTGAAATTGTTAAAATAAAAACTGTTTCCTTGTTAATTCATAGGTAGATCTGAGTTAGTATCTGTCTCAATACATAATTTTACATAGTCTCTTAAATCAGATGTTCTATCAGAGATAGAATGTATTTCTAATCGTCATTAAATCAGATGGTGAATATTAATATTCTTGCTTCCGAAATTTTTAATGGAGTTTTATCAAACCGTCTGGACGAAAGTTGTGTGCCTCTGGACTATATTTTACTAAATATTATTTCGTGGACCTTGTGTTCGCAATTGCCATCGTGTCGGTATTGCTAGTGATAAGATTTTAAAAATTGCATGAATGATCTAAGATGGCACAATATTAATACATACCGTCAAAATGCTTCCATTAGTTTAAAAGAAATTTAGATGAAAGTCACAGTTCAGTCTTTCTTAATAAAATTATCAAAGTAGAGCAATGAAAGCTGTAGATTGGCTGACAAAGACTCTTGATAGGTCTCGCTGGACAAAGGTGTTGGCAGGGATCAGATAAGAGTCGGGCTTGGGCCATACTTTGAGAACAGAGCCGGCGATACGAGATCTTAATTAATGAGGAGCCACTCAAATCATCACTTACAGTTGATCAAAGTCCATGGCCGTGAACAGATGTCATTGTCGCGGGCCTTACTTAGACAGTGGATCCGAGAGTCGTGTCAATCCATTGACACTGCCCAGTTCCTCTCTCTCTCTCTC